TTTATTTATTTATTTATTTATTTATTTATTTATTTATTTATTTATTTTAGCATGTTGTTCGAATAAATGATGATATAATATTAAATCGTTATTATGATCCATTAACAAAACCACGTCCAGAATCTTTTCCAAAAGAAGAAAATGAATGTAAAAGAGCAAAAGAAATATTTGGAATAACAGCTGAAATATTTTATTTTCATAATCGTGCTGCATGTGAATCAGGATGGGATTTTAGTTCACGATGGTTTAAAGATAAAAAATCAAAAGAATCAAATCATTGTGGAGAAATTGTTCCAATTGATCTTAATTGTTTAATTTATTTTTTAGAATATATTCTTTCAATAACATATAAAGAAATAAATAATACTGAATTAAGTCAATTATTTGAACAATTAGCAAATTCAAGAAAACAAACAATTCAAACATTATTTTGGTCAAATGAAGAAAACTTTTTTTTTGATTATGATCCAATAAATCAATGTCAAAAACAAATTTTATCATTAGCTGCTTGTTATCCACTTTTTTTTAATATTGCAACAAAACAACAAGCACATCATGTTTATCAACGTTTAGAAAAAGATTTTTTAAAAAATGGTGGTTTAATAACAACACTTGAAAATACAGATCAACAATGGGATTCACCTATTGGATGGGCACCATTACAATGGATTGCATTTAAAGCTTTACAAAATTATGGTTATCAACAATTAGCTAATCAAATTCGTTCAAGATGGTTAAATCTTAATGATCAAATTTATAAACAAACAGGAAAAATGACTGAAAAATATAATGTTGTTGATCAAACTGAAGGTGGAGGCGGAAACTACCCGTTACAAGACGGATTTGGATGGACTAATGGAGTTTATCTTAGATTACTTCAAGGATAAATATCTATTCTCTCTTTTTATTACCCAGATAAAGTTTTATTAACAAAAATAAATTAATTTAAAATAAATTTAGATTTTAGTATTTCTATTCTATTTAAATAAAAAGAAAAACTATTAATAAATTCTAATTAATTTATTGATCGTGAAAAATATTGTATAAATTTGCATTTACTAGACAATTTTTGAAAATTTTATTCACTTTTCATTGATACAAGATAAAATGATTAATAGAATTGATATATCTAATAATGAGATTTTCTATTATTCTAATATAAAATCAAATCATAAAATACAGATCATGTCTAAATTCTTCTAAGACATCATCTACTTCTTATTTATATTTTTATATTAATAAATTTTGAGAAGAAGAAAGATCTGATATATTTCTAATATTATTATGAACATGTTAAAATATTAAATATTTTCATGTTGATTCATTGTGAATACATTAAATATTATATTTGTTAATTTGATGTTAAAAATAACAATTTTATTTTCTTATCTTGAAGATGAATTTATTGAACAATAGAAAAAGTTCTATTATAATATATTTTATAGTTTTGTTTCCTTGTTAATTAGAAATGAAAAAAAAGTATAAGTATTACTCTTCACATAGAATCATTGATGTAAATACAAGTTTTGATGTATTCGACCATACAAATAATTCTTCCAACTTTCAAATCTTCAAGAAGAGCATCAATCAAAATAGAACAAAAAAAAACATTTTTCAACGTTTGTTTTTCATTAACAGAAAATGAATAATTTTTCTTCATGAACGATTCGAAATCTTATCAATAAAAACAATACTTTATTTGTTATTAAGAAATATCTATGTTGATCGTTCTTGTCCTTCAAAATAATATATTTAATAGTAGAAGAAAAGTTCATTATACGATAATTAGCAAAAAGAAACTAAATAGATTTAAAAATAATTGTACAGAATGTATTAGTATAAATTCTTTAAATTTAACATATGAAACACCAAATAACTATCGATACTGGCAAAGAAACCAATTGCTTCCTCGTCTACTAATATATATATATAAGAAATTCATAAAAAATGTTAATAATCTATTGTTTGAAAATTGATCCTCAATCGTGGAATCTCTTCACCTTATTCACAGGATGACATTGATGTATTTATGTGATAAACTTATATTAACTTTATTTATTTTTAATATTGATAATCAACGAAATTCAATTAAACAATTCCAAAAGGACATACTAGTTTTTCAACATTGTATTCTGCACACTTTTATATTAGAAAAGAGCGTGTATTGTTCATTATACATACGAACAATGCATGTTCATCTATAATGCAAAAATGGAACTCATACTGTAGAAATAGTATCATGATAAAGAATTATTTAGTAGTAATTTTCAATTTCTTTGGCTCAATCGAACAACTATGTCACCTCTATGAGCTAAAACAAGTAAAAATTTTTTGTGATTTATTTTGTTCACCATATTTTGGATTATTATACTTTATAATACAAAATACATTTCTAAGTTCATTTGTTTCAATTAAATTATTTGCTCATTTTCGAACATTTTTCAGTTTTGAGAAAAGAAAATTTCTTCTGAATATATTTATTTTCTTATATTTTATTCAAATTTAAATAAAGCATTATCAATCGATTAGAATCATTGACAATGTGAACTCGAGTTTTTTCAACGTTAATTCATATCTATGTCCACTAACAACCACATTTGTTCATCTACAATTATTTTTCTATATTTCTCAAGTAACAAAGCTTGAACTTCATAATGCTAAAGTACTACTGAAAAATCAATGAAATAGAATCGAATGTATAAAAAGAAAATACTTATTCAGATCAATTAGATAATATGAAAATGTTAATAAAAGAAAAACTATTGAATACATAATATTTTCTTCTTCTTCTATAATAGACATTTCTATACATAAGAAGATATAATAATAAATGTCATTTACAAAAATATATTAATTCTATAATCAAATTAATATGTCGAAATTATAGTTTCATTTATAGAAAATGAAACTTTTGCAATTCAATAGTAAAAGTAGAAATGTCAATCATAACTTAAAAAATTGATAATTCTTTCCCTAAGTAGTTTGTCGACAAACAAATACTGAATATATGATCCATAGTTATATCTTATCTAATTATTATTCTTGTAGTTAGAAAGTTTTTTTTTTAATATTTCGAGTGTTTTTCTTGGTAAATGAAAAGTAAATTTGACTTTTTACATATTCTAGTTTCATCTAACCTTGCACTATTGTAGTATAAAATTAAACGTACTTTTTTAAGTGTCACACTCCATCGCAATGCACTTTTACTTTCCTTGAGGTGAAACTTTTTTGGCATAATATTGTTCTTAAATAAATAAAAAGAAAATGACGACGAAAGAACGACAAAATGAATTCCTCGTGTATGTGTGTGTTCATTGCATACTTAAAAAAAACAAGTATTTACAAATTTCCAACGAGACAAATAGTTTTATTTTTTTTATTTTAAATTTCTTATAAGTAGAAAACCTTTTAATACCTTTATCATGTACAAAAAAAGAATTAATCCTTCACTGAAAACTCACAAATTCTTTTTTCGTTTATTATTTTTCACAACTTTGTTTCAAAGTAAGAATAAGCTCTTTTTAAATGAAATTTTTAAGAATATAGAAATATTTGTCAATTGTAGGAGATTACAATTACATTTTTAATCGATTATAATACGATTATTTTAATCAGATCTTGAAACTTAAAGAATTTATTTCAATGAATCATTGAAGATCTCTCTAAATACTCATTTATTAAATACTTGAAACAAAAATATTTAGATATTCACATAAATTTCATCATAGAACATCATGTTTTGTTATTACAATCGATAAGAAGGAAGGGAAAGCTTTCTAAAAAACTAATTTTTTCTTCGTCAGATTTCTAAATCGATAACTTTTCTAAAAGTGATCTCACGATTCAGATTTGAGTTCTTTATAATGCTTTAGTTAAATAAATAAAATATTGTTAAATACGACAAATAGTCTTTTCTTGTTGAAATTAAAGAGTTTTCGTGACTTATTGCAGTTAGCAGACGACACAGTGTTACTATTATTTGGTAATTAGTAATTCTGACGTTATGACTTATTTACTAATGTAACAGCAGTTTTCTTCCTTCTAGTTTCTACTACTATTGACATTCTTCAGAGAAATAGGACAATTGAATATTTTTATAGACTCTACTTTCTAATCCTTAAATAAAAGAGCGCGTGTGATCCATCCCACATTCTCAACAATATCAATATTTGAATATCAACTTATTTTTTCTTGGAATATTTAATTATAAATTTAGATGTATTTTATCAAAATTTCCTAATTAAATATTATTTTTATTTTCAGAAAATAAAAATTTATCATAGAACATACATTGATATAAATTCATCTCGTTTTCACAATCTATCATATTAAGATGTTTATTGAGTTAACTCGATATTTTGGTTTTGTTCGATTACATAAGAAATATTATGTATGTGCAATTACTTTAACAAGTCTCTTCATCGTATCTCACTGTTATAGAGATAGATTTCTCAAAAATAAAAATCTAGATTCACAACAAGCTAAGATAACAGAAACGAGCCCACATTTATCAACATCTATGGCTTATCAATATTCGCCAAGAATATTCAATGAAAGTCCTAATTATTCGTATTTATCATCATGTGGAAGCCAAAAGCATTCTTCTCACATATCGGTACGCAACAAAGAGTTAGTCAATACGATAACTATGGTATTGAAATCTCGCTCTTTAATGTATTGTCCTGTTCCAAAAGTAGCAACAAAAACTCTTCTTACTGTTATGCTTTATATGCATGTTAATGATATAATTGATAATCTCGAGCATAATTGGACAAATATTGATGCTGGTAGAGCTCAAGTGGAAAAAAGAATTAATATTGGTTCTTACATACATGAACTTCGACAGGTATGACAAA